CTGCCACCAAGTTCGTAGAGAACGAGGGGAGGTGAAGACCCGACAGGGTGCCGGCCGGAACCGCCGGACAAGGGAGGACAGTGGAGGAGGTTGCAAGGACTGGGCCCCCAGAGGGGTCAGCGAGAGAGACAGCAACAGGCCGAGCTAGCTGCTCAAGGACAGTGCGGTCACGAAAGAAGCAGCGGGAAGCACCCGAGTCCAGTGTGAAGGTGTGCACTGGCTCAATAGACGCAGTACCAGCAGGCGCAGACTCACAAGCACCTAGAGCAGCAGACTAACTTGCACCTAGAGCAGCAGCCTCACCTGGACCTAGGGCGGCAGACGCACTAGCACTTAGAGCGGCAGTCTTACTGGTCCCAATACCCGGGTCGGGCGGTACACTCAGGTAGCAGTCACCCTCAACACTAATGGTCAATGCATACATAGCACCAAGGATAGCATCATAATCAAGAGCAACGATATCAATTCCCTTCTTATGCAGATCAGCTTAGCGGGGCAGCTCAGAGGCGTCAGGGAACTGCTCGTGCAAGGCGTCGTTGAGACGAAAGAAGCAGCGCTGCGCCGTGTGAAACCTCCCACAGGTCTGGCCAGTGCGGTCATCTGTGCAGATGATGTACGGGCAGGTACCTCCACCCCCAGAACCCCCACGCTGAGAGTACCACTCACGGAGCTGCTGGGGCAACGGGGTCTCGCTGGGACACTGCTGCTGCTGCCTCTGGCCACCACCGAACCCCCCGCGCTGCCCCGCTCCACCGCGTCCACCACTAGCTCCACTGCCGCCACCACTACCACCACCACCCCTGCCACCCCCACCACCGCTGCCTCCACCACTCCCGGCTCCGCTACTGACCCCCCCCACCACTAGCGCCACTCCCACCACCGCCACCACCCCCGCCCCCTCCACCACCGCCGCCATCCCTGCCCCCCTTGCCCCTGCTGCCCTTGCGCCTCCCACTAGGAGCAGACGCAGCCCTGACCCCCTCAGCACCGAGGTAGTTGACAGCAGCAGCAGATGCTATGGAGGGGAGGAGGGGGACGGGGGAGCACCCCTCAAAGAAGGGGGCGCGATGGTCGCCACGAGAGGCACCTACAGCTACAATACTCTTCTCAGCTGCCAGGAGTTCCTTCTCGAGCAGGTCGATAGTGAGGTCGGTAGGGGAGAGGGAAAGAAAGCGGTCCCTGACAGTGCGAAGGGAGTCAGGGGGGCGGGTGACTAGGTGATAGAGTGTGAGGTACATCGGGGGAGGGTTCTTGGCTAGGAAATCAGGGGGAAGCACAGCACGGTAGCGAAGATCACTAGTACGTAGGTGCGTGATGAGGTCAGCTATAGTGGCAAAAGCACACAGATCGGGGAAGAGATAGGGCAGTGAGAGATGGCCTATCGCAGCAGTAGCAAGGGAGGAGTAGCATGCAACTACAGCGTCGTACAGCTCCTTAGCAGTCTTATGCTGGCCAAAGTGCTCGCGCTCATCTAGCGGTAGGTGGCTGCGAACGGCTAGGCGAGCATCAGCGTCACGAGTTTGCTACTCTGAGTGAGCAGTGCTGTCAGTAGTAGCAGCAGGTGCGGGAGCGGCGCCGCACGTGTGGTAAAAAAGGGAAACATCGTCCTTGGTAGTGATCTGGAGGAACCGGTGCAGGTCATTGAGCCAAACGTCAAAGTTAACCGGATGGCCCTCAGAATCAAAGGTGAGAACTCTAGGACTAGCCATAGTGACAGTAGCAGTAGTAGCAGTAGCAGTGGTAGCAGTAGCAGTAGTAGAAGTAAGAGCAGTACAGTAGCAGATGTAGTAGTAGGAACAGGAACAGCAGGTGCTGCAGTTGGTGCACAGTAGGGCGGCGCGGCGTGGCTCGGACTAGGCTACGCGGCGCGGCGCGTCGGTGGGCCTGCACGTGGGCGGCTGTAGCGTATGGGCCGCGGCTGTGCGTGGGCTGCAGTCGCGCGCGGGCGGCGGCCTACACACGCGACGCGGCGGCCTACGGGCGGGGCTGCGGCGCGCTACACGGCCAGCAGGGCCGGTCGACGGGCGGCTAGCGGGCTGCTCGTGGGCGGCGCTGGTCGTGCGGGTGGCTAAAAGGCGACGTCCGCGCGACTCAGGCTGAGCGCGGGCGGCTAGCGGGCTACGCGCGCTAAAAAAAAAGGCTGCGCGTGGGGCTAGCGAGCTACGCACGGGCAGCAAGAGAGAGAGAGGCGCACGAGTGCGCACTAACAGAGAGGCGCAAGAGGGTGCTAAGGCGATAGTGTGCTCGAGGGCGCTTCTAGCAAAACGGTGGGCCCTTAGGTAGGTGGTCCTAGGTTCCTAACCACTTAGATGCTAAGGACGGAGTCTATGAAGATTAGGTGCTTAAATTTCTCAAAATCGTTGGCTTAAAATTCTGGACTGAAACGTCAATTCACAAGAAACGCCATCGACAAAAGGTGCAAAGTTAAACTTTCACCAAACTCAGATATGTTGTAGCTCTAGTGCGTGGCTACAATTCACAATATGAATCGTACAATAAGGTGAAGTATTTATTGAGTTATGAATTTCGGCGCACTAGGGGGTAAGCTGCCATAGAATCTTAACTCAATCACAATAGTCTCACAAGTTTACACAAGAAAGTTGGAGTAGCAATTAACCAGGTGGGAGGGAAGAGGAGGACGAGAGGGAAGGTTCCCAAGGAGTCCCCAACCAAGGAAACCCAAAAGCACACCAAATCCCTCCCCTATAGGAACCCCACGTTTACTTTTGTCATTTTCCAACCCATGCCATCCACCTTGCCCAACTTGGCCACACTTGCCAACCAGGTTTGGTTTCTCCCAACCATTTGGCAGCAACTACAGTAGAAAAGACGAATTTCCCAACCCCCAAAAGTCTGTACCCCATATTGAGTCAACCCCACAACTTCCCACTGTCGCCACAATCAAATATGAAAAGCATACGAACTCCAACGTTTGTAACCTTCTTGATTGTGTTCCGATTGAAGCGATACTTGGTTCGTCGGAGAGCTCTTGAGCAGAGAAGTCACTTCAGAAGTCACTTGATATCTGCTCAAGCCAAATAACATTTGCACACCCTCAGAAAATTCAAACCACACAAAACACAATTCCTTGCACTCGCTCACACCACGCATGCAACGCACGAACACGTGATGGAAGGTAGACAGACGTGAATGCATATGATTGCATCACACAACAAACTTCCCCCTCTGGCTGCCAACCATCATCCCACATGCCATAGCTCAAGCATGCATCCTCAATGCACACTCATCCCAGCAAGCTTCATGCCCTTCCAATGCTCAGATTCAGCCAGGCGCTTGGTGAGAATGTCAGCCGCCTACTGATGGGTCTTCAAAATCTCCAACCGCACCTCCTTGTCCACGAGCCTCCTCACCCAGTGCCACTTGGGCCTGATGTGTTTGGTCAGCCCATGAAGACAAGCATTCTTCGCTAGCTTCACCGCCGACTCATTGTCACAGAAAATCACAGTCGGCTCCCTCTGGCACATTCCGATCTCCTCCAACAAACGCCTCAGCCACACCACCTCCTTTGCCCCATGATGCAGGGCCATGTACTCTGTCTCACACGAGAACTGCCCCACCTCGTTCTGCTTCTTGCTGCGCCAGCTCACTGCACCACCTCCAAACAGGCACACATAGCCTCCAATGCTGGTGCCATCCGCCTTCACAGAGTTGAAATTGGCGTCGGTGTAGCAGGTCAGGAGCAACTCCCCCTTGCCCAAATCAGTTGCACCCCTCTGCAGCCTTTGACGCACAGCACTGTACTCCAAGCCCACTGATGCCATAGCGCTCACATAGCTGACCAACCTCTTGGGCGCTTCCAGCTGCTCATGACTGGGGCGTGCAACCACACTTGCAAGCCTGGATGTAGCAAAGGCAATGTCCGGCCGCGTGTGGTTAGCCGCATAATTGAGTGCCCCCACCATGGAATGAAACAGCTTCTTGTCACTCTCACCCACCACCTCCTCATCAGCACAGGGCTCTACTGTGAACCCTGAAGGTAGTGGGGTGGCTGGCTTCCCTCCATCTTGCAGCCCATACTTCTCGGCCAGCCCCTCACAGTACTTCCTCTGGTGCAACCTCAACATTCCCTTGTCAAGGTCCCTCTCCACATGCATCCCCAGGTAGTACTTCACATCTCCCATCTTGGAACACTTGAACTGCATCTCTAGCATCTCCTCCACACGCTCAATCATTGCAGATGACTCAGAGAAGAGCAAGATGTCATCCACATTCACCATGAGCATGAGAAACTGCTCCTTCTCTTGTAGCAGGAACAGGCTGTGGTCACACTCACTCTTCTTGAACCCCCAAGCCAGCAGTGTCTCCTCTAGCTTGTGGTACCATGCACGAGGAGCCTGCTTGAGGCCATAGATGGCCTTCTTCAGCCTGCACACCCTGCCGGTCCCATCATCCAGACCATCAGGTTGTAACATGTACAGCTCCTCCAAGATGATCCCATTGAGGAAGGCGGTGGTAATGTCCATTTGCTTCACCCGCCACCCATGGTTTGCAGCCATTGCCAATGACACTTTCAGTGTTGTGCCTTTCCCTACAAGAGCAAAGATCTCGTCAAAATTCTTCCCCTTTGTCTGCTGAAACCCCTTAGCCACAAGCCTTGACTTGTAGCGGGTCAGCTCCTCATTAGGTCCATACTTGTGCCTAAAAATCGGTTTGGAAGAACAGGCCTTCTTCCCAGGAGGCAGCTCACATAGCTCCCAAGTCTCATTCTCCAGCAGAGAGTCATGCTCCTCCTTCACACTTTGCTTCCACTTTTCAGCATCGGGCCCGCTCAATGCCTAGGCTAACGTCTTGGGCTCAGGAACGGCTGCCCTGTAGCAGTGTGCTATCTCTTCGTCATCACACAGCTCAGCCACACTCCCAGCCCTTACCACCTTTGGCTTGCCAAGGCTCGGATAGGTCAGCCGGTTAGGAGGGCGCACATCCCTCCTAGGACGGTCAGCCGGACATGCGGCACCTTGTGGAGCACCTTGCTGTTGCTGCTACGGCTGCTGCTGCTCCTCAACCTCAGGTTCTCCCCCATCCTCAGACACCCCAGAGATCTCATCCTCAGAGACAGTGACCTGTACCTGCCTCGAAGGCCGCTGCACCTCATCAGCCTCAATAACCAGCGGTGTAGCGGGAAGCTTCTGCTGCTGCTCCTTCCACTCCTTGTAGTATAAGGACTCGAGGAACTTCACATCCCTTGACACAGTCAGCTGCTGGCTGGTCAAGTCCCAAATCAGCCAGCCCTTGTGATCCTTAGCAAGCCCCAAGTGCACACCCCATCTCCCAGAAGCGTCCATTTTTCCCCTCTTCTCCTTAGGCACATGAAACACCACCATGCAACCGAAGGCTCTCAGCATGTTGACTGCTGATACACTCCCATACCACATGGTGTAGGGGACCCACTGCTTGTCCCCCACAGTCGCCAGCACCCTGTTCTTCACAAGGGCGACCTGCCGCATTGCAGTCACCCAAAACGGATCCGGCAGCCCTGCACTCCCAAAGAGAGTGTGAGCACTTTCCTGCAGGGTCCGGTTGAACCGCTCAGCCACGCCGTTCTGCGAAGGGTTGTAGAACACTGTGAGCTGATGCTGGATCCCCTTCTTCTTCAGCATCACCTCAAACTCATTACCAATGAACTCTCCCCCAGTATCGGTGCGGATCACATTCACCTTGTGTCCGCTCTCCCTTAGAGTTCTTGGCATCCACTTCTTAAGAACACCCGCTGCCACCTCACCCTTAGTCTTCAAAGGGTACACCCACACCGCACGCGTGTGGTCGTCCACAATCGTCAAGAAGTAGCGGCTGCCCGAGAGAGAAAGGGCCCTCGTGGGGCCCACCACGTCCATGTGCACAAGTGCAAGTGGAACCTTGGCTGGTCCCGTGCTGGTGCTGAAGGAGAACTTGGTGAATTTAGTCTCAAGGCATGTTGGGCAGCACCGAATCTCCTTCACTGCCCCCTTCACGCTCCCATCCTCCACTAATTTCTGCAGCATCGGAATGTTAATGTGACACAACCTCTCGTGCCACGTCTCCCAATCGGCATCACCATTCCCAGATGAAGCCTTTGCCCATGCAGCGATCGCATCCACACCAGCAAGCACCTCACCATGTGGCTGCTGTGGCTGCTGCACCTTCTTGACTACATCCAGGGCCCCATCAGTTGGTGCGGTCTCCTCTCTTCCTGCAGATGCCTCAGCCGTTGCTGCAGCCGCTGCCGTTGCTGGTGGTTTCCCATTCCAAGGGATGATGGGTAGCTGCCACATGTTCTTGATGCAGCTGCTCTTCTTCTCCAAGTTCCACAGCAGCAACTTCCCAAGCTTTGCACGGCAGCTGGTTGGGCCGAAGGTAACTTCAGCCTCGCTCTTCTCCAGCCGGCGCACAGAAAAAAGGTTAGCGGACAAACCTTCAACCAACAGCACATTCCCAAGCCCCACAAGCTCTCCATTGGCTCCCATCACCTTGGCATTCCTAACACCAATCACAGGGAGCAAAGCACCTGAAGCGGCAGCCACAAACTTGATCTTCCCAGGAGGTCTTACCTCGTCAAGCAAATCTGCCCGTGGGGTCATATGACTCGTGCAACCTGAATCGATCACCCAGTGAGTGAGGGGGTGCATCACAACCTTCCCAACTGAACCCACATCACCCCCACTCCCTTGCACATCCTCAACCATGAGGAACATCACAGGGTCGGCTTTACCTTGTGCACCATCACCTTGTGCACCTGAACCTTGCACAGCGTCACCGCGTGCACGTTCACCACCTGGCGGCTTCATGCTTGGAGGGGCCCATCCTTCAGGCCGGCTGAAACACTTGAGCCACCGGTGTCCAGTCTTCTTGCAGTACCAGCACGCACCCTCCATTCGGGTGCTCCCCCTGCCACCAGAGCTCCCATGCTCCTCATTGTAGTCACCTCGGCCTCTCCCTTTGCAAAAGCTCTCCCACGGCCTCGGCCTCTCCCTCCCCCTCTTCCTCCGCTGCCTCTTGCAGCTCCATACCCCTCAGCAGTTTTGTTGGCAGCACCACCTCCCGTGTGGCGCCTGCGGAAGTCCTCCTGCAGAATCTGCTGCCATAACCACTCAGGCGTCCATTTGTCCCGCTGAACGTTGAGGGTGGGGATGAGGTTGTCCCACGAATTGTCGAGCACCGAGATGATCTTGGTGCACTGTTGCATCTGCGACACTTCGCTGCCCGCCGCTGCCATCCTCGCATAGGTGTCCTTGATCTTGTCAAGGACCGGTTTCACATCATCTCTTGGTTTCATGGAGAGGGCAGCCAACTCTTTCTCCAACACAATCACCATCGGCAGCATGTTGGGCTGAATCACGTCGCGTAGCAGCTTCCATGCCTTCGGTCCGGAATCATCCAACTCCACCAAATCCTTGATGTGCTGGAACATGTCATTGTTGACCGATTGGAGGATGAGGTCGTACAGCACTGCGCTCTTCTCAATCCACCGATCGCGGGCATCTCCTTCCCCCGGCATCTTCTCCTCTCCCATTGCAATTTTCAGTAGCTTGTAGCACTTGAAGGCGCTCCGCATCCGCCGCTCCATTCTTCACAGTTGGAGCCATCCAAAGCTTCGATCTTGGATGGTGACGGTTCACTCCTCTTCTCAGCTGCATCTCCACTCCCTTGATTCATCTCCTCTGCTCCCAATCAGAGGTTTCAGCTCCCCCCTTTGCTGGTCACAATGTAGATCCACACAATCTTCACAAGTGTCGGCGCCAACGAAATTTCGGCAGAGTTTCCCCTTAGCGGAAGTCACATCCAACCTCCAGAACTCCACTTAGGCACGCCCACAGGCCATGGTGGGTCTAAGAGGGTCTTCACACTTCAGTAGACTCTCCACAAAGTCTTTAATGAGCTCTGATACCACTTGTTAGATGCTAAGGACGGAGTCTATGAAGATTAGGTGCCCAAATTTTTCAAAATCGTTGGCTTAAAATTCTGGATAGAAACGTCAACTTCACAAGAAAGGCCGTCGACAAAAGGTGCAAAGTTAAAAAATCACCAAACTCATATATATTTTAGCTCTAGTGCGTGGCTACAATTCCCAATTTGAATCGTACGATAAAATGAAGTATATCTTGAGTTATGAATTTCGGCGCACTAGGGGGTAAGCTGCCATAGAATCTTAACTCAATCACAATAGTCTCACAAGTTTACACAAGAAAGTTGGAGTAGCAATGAACCAGGTGGGAGGGAAGAGGAGGACGAGAGGGAAGGTCCCCAAGGAGTCCCCAACCAAGGAAACCCAAAAGCACACCAAATCCCTCCCCTATAGGAACCCCACGTTTACTTTTGTCATTTTCCAACCCATGCCATCCACCTTGCCCAACTTGGCCACACTTGCCAACCAGGTTTGGTTTCTCCCAACCATTTGGCAGCAACTACAGTAGAAAAGACAAATTTCCCAACCCCCAAAAGTATGTACCCCTTATTTAGTCAAACCCACAACTTCCCGCCGTTGCCACAATCAAATATGAAAAGCATACGAACTCCAACGTTCGTAACTTTCTTGATCGTGCTCTGATTGAAGCGATACTTGGTTCATCGGAGAGCTCTTGAGCAGAGAAGTCACTTCAGATATCTGCTCAAGCCAAATAACATTTGCACACCCTCAGAAAATTCAAACCACACAAAACACAATTCCCTGCACACGCTCACACCACGCATGCAACGCAGGAACACACGATGGGAGGTAGACAGACGTGAATGCATATGATTGCATCACACAACATAACCTAGGCTTGTAATACCATGTTAGAATGAGAGAAGTGGTTGGACTAGCAAGATTGGGAGTACAAGTAGGAAAACCCTAGATGGTTCTACCCCCTAAGGCTAAACCCACTGTAGCCTACAGAACAGTAACATATAAAATGTTTGACAATATACGCCATCACCTTTTCACCCGGTTTCATTTCCGCTGTTGTCAGTTGTGCCATTAACCGACTCTAATTGACGCTGTTTGTTGCCTGATACAGGTTCTTCAGGTGGTTGTACGCGAGCTCGGCGGAGTTCCTGTATCCCCAGTAAGACCGAATAGTCTGTTGCTGGTTCGGTATGATGTTGGGCAGTAGGATTGTGTACGCCATCATATACTGATATGTATACTGCTGCTTGTCATATTGCGTCCCGTGCATTGGATATGGCAAGGACCCGTCGAAGAAGCCAAGAATCTGCGCGCCCTCCATCATCAGCTCGAAATCCAACGACTAGGTAAAGAAGTCCTTTTCGTCGAACGGTTTTGATGTCTGCAGTTTTATGACGTGCGCAAACTGCGACTAGACTTGAAGTGCATCCAATATTTTTTCTTGCTCAGCTGAAGGCTGCTAGCGCGGCATGAAGCTGACGGAACCACGCTGAGGTTCGTACGGGGCAAAGGTAGGTTGTTGTTGCTGATTTCCTCGCGCGTAGGATGAACCGTCGAGGCTCATCGGTGTCACGTTGTTGTTGTTGTTGCTGTTATTTGACTACGCAGGTGCCCCTTGCGCGTGTTATTCGTAGAAGGACATGAAGGATAAGAATTTTTCCATCATGTTTGGGTCGAAGCCCGCGGCTTGATCTGCGGGAGTTTGAGTAGACCCAACCGCCGGTCTTGTTGCTGTGCTCTCCTCTGTCTGTAGGCGAGAGGCAGGACGTGGAGTAGGAGTAGTACCGGGAGAGCCGTTAGAGGAGCTTCTCTCCTTCTGGGTTGCCATACCTTGTGATGTTGTAGGTGTCTTGATTGTAGTTGAGTTTGCCCTGATAGCTCTCATACCATGTTGGGCTGAGAAAAGCCCTTACAATCTTTGCAAGACTAAACTCGGAGTAGGAACAATGTAATAGCGGAAGCGTTTAATGACAAGTCTCTGAACCACCTTGCGCTAGTATGTGAGGGCAAAGTAGATTAATTAAAACGAAGAGATACAGGCCTTTATAAGAGTACAAGGGAATATGAAGGGTTATAGCTAATAATTGTTTTGCTGTTGTTGTTGCGGTTCGATACAGTGACGACTCGGGCAACTGCTCAATAACGAGTCTGTTGTTTGTCCTTGGTGTCATGCTGTACTTGTCAGGTCAAATGTCGCTGACCTTTGACTTTCGCGTAACCTTCAGCAGTTGTTCAACCTTTGAGGGTTGACTCGCAGATGCTTTGGTGTGTTTTGCTTCGTTCACGACTTAGTGTCTCGACAAGACAGAGGCGCTTAAATTACTTTTTTTCCAACGGGCGAGAACCGAGGAGAGAGGAGGCTTGGAAGTCTGGCGAAAGGTGCGGTAGCGATTCGGAAGTGGTTCAGGGCAATTTTTTAGGCCGAACCGATTGAAGTGAACTCGACGGAAGGGAAATGATAATGATTTCCTAGAGTTGGAATTTAATCTTTTATACGCACACAACGGAAAGAAATGATTTGTGGTAGTAAAACTTTGAAATGGGAACACAATTATTTTCTCCGCAAATTCTACAGGCTCACTTGTCAAGCGCACCCAACGCCAAGTTATTCACACACTACAACGCAGACGGACTTGGCTAGTGCAGTGCAATTACGTAATTTACACATATTAATTCTAACTTCATATTGACGAAGAGGTACACAAGTGTCAAATGTTGTAGTCTTAGTGCGCGCTCGTTGCACAAAACGCGACCGTCGCGCCTGCTCTTTCCGCGCCTGCCTCCCGTCCTCGCTCGTCCATGTCCGTCGAACGTTCACGCCTTGCCTGTTCGCGCCCGTCATTTCTTGCACATTGCCCATCGCACCGTGCCCGTCCAGTTACGCTTCCGCTATGGCAACCCCTAGGGTCCTGCGCTTTGACGCCGAGGGTAGGCCGCTTGAGTTCTCCGTCTAGCTCCTGCGTGCGCGCCGCCTTTTAGAGAGTCAGGTTTAAGCGGATGTGTCTCTGTGGGCGCACGCTTCCAGCGACATTCCTAAGCCCGTCAATCCTGCACCCTTAGACGCAGACCTTAGCTCTACTGACAGAGAGCGTTTCGCCTGCCAGCGTGCTGACCTCACAGCATGGACGTCGCGTGACGCTGCGCGCTGCATCGCCCTCAGCAGCCTCCTCCCTGAGTCTGAGGAGACCCACTTCACTCAGGTTCGCACGGCTAGTGAGTTACTGACTGCGATCAAGGCCCACTACGTTACTCCCGCCACTGTCTCTCTTGGTCACATGTTCCTCCCATTCCTGTTTCGTGACCTCGCCTTGTTTGAGCGCTCTGCTGACATGATCACTCACCTGCGCTCGCTCGATTCCAGCTTCCGCGCTGCCTGCACTGACAAACAGCTTGCATTGCTCCCCCCCCTATGGCGATTACTGTCTATTTCATCACCACTAGCCTCCCTAACCACCTTGCCTCGGTTTGTGACGCGCTTCTTCTGAAGCACCCTAGGGAGCTCACTATCGACGTCCTTGAGTCTGCCCTCAAGGACGTCGAGAGAAACCTCCGCTCGGTTGCCTTTGCCTTTAGTGATGTGCCCCCTCCAATGTTTCACGGGTGCACTGTCCCTGAGCTGAGGCAATCAACAGGTGAGGCAATCAACAGATGAGGCAATCAGCAGGTGAGGCAATCAGCAAGTGAGGCAATCAGCAGGTGAGGCAATCAGCAGGTGAGGCAATCAGCAGATGAGGCAAGCAGCAGGTGAGGCAATCAGAAGGTGACAAAATCAGCAGGTGAGGCAATCAGCAGATGAGGCAATCAGCAGATGAGGCAATCAGCAGGTGAGGCAATCAGCAAGTGAGGCAATCAGCAGGTGAGGCTATCAGCAGGTGAGGCAATCAGCAGGTGAGGCAAGCAGCCAGTGGGTGAGGCAAGCAGCGGGTGAGGCAAGCAGCGGGTGAGGCAAGCAGCGGGTGAGACAAGCAGCGGGTGAGGCAAGCAGCGGGTGAGGCAAGTAGTGGGTGAGGCAAGCACCGGGTGAGGCAAGCAGCGGGTGAGGCAAGCAGCGGGTGAGGCAAGTAGCGGGTAAGGCAATCAGCGGGTGAGGCAAGCAGCAAGTGAGGCAATCAGCGGGTGAGGCAAGCAGTTGGTGAGGCAATCAACGGGTGAGGCAAGCAGCGGGTGAGGCATGGAACATGACGAGCTCAGCCATGCATCGGCGTGGGGGCGTGCAGGTGAGGCATTAAGCGGACGAGTTATCCTAGATTAGCAGCCACCAAACACCACCGCTGTGCCCCATGCTGTGCGATCTCATCTCATTCTCCTGAGAGCGCTGCCTTGAGTCTTCACCAGAGACGGCTTCGGAGGTGCTCAAGAAGGACTTAAGCTTTAAGCGCCTCAAGAGTTGCCCTACCGATCTCATTTTCTTTGCCCTCAACTTGCTACACCCTTGACCTCCAACACACCTCTGACCTCCCTCGTACCCTTGACCTCCCTCACACCCTTGACTTACCTCGCACCCTTGACCTCCCTCGCACCGTTGACCTCAAGAGAAAATATGTTTAAAGCGCCTCAAGAGTTGCCCTTGTGGTGTAATTTTCTCTGCCCTCTTGACCTGCAGCTGCCTAGCAACCTTCGCTTTGCTGCACCCCTGACCTCCCTCACACCCGAGCCACGGCATTTTG